TAAAAATGAAATAGACACATCTTTTTGAAAAATATTGTCAAGCCTTTAAGTAGTTTGAACAAATTCTCAAAATATGTTAGAACAGAACATAAAATATACCTTGTGCGCATTTGGATGCTGCTTAAATATAGATGAAAGGTATATTTTATAAGCTTGATGGTTTGCCAGGCTTTCCTTTTGAGGAATAAATAAATAATGCTTTGTTTTGAAGATTCTGTTTCTCTTTCACTGAAAATTTATAGTCTCAGGATCCCAGAGGGAAACTCATACAGATGCCAGAACAGTGTTGGACCTGTGAGATGGACCTTATATGATTTGCATTTTAAATGAATAGATTCTTGATCTTTCAACATCTCATCTTCTTAACAGTACTGTTTGGTGTCTGTTATAAGGTCCTTTGGAAGACGCATTATTTTTCAGACCTGAAGTGATTCAGTTATGGCCTGCGTAAACAGTCTGAGTGCACTTTGGGTAGTTGATTTGCTGTATATCAAAACATTTATGGAAATATTAAAATAGCTTATTTTCTGGTTTGCTTTCAGTCAATATTTTAAATATACTTTTAATTTGAACTAGGTAATATATGCTATAAAGTTTTAGAACGAATGTCTGGCATTATCAATGCTTGTCAAAAAAAATAAAACAACAAAGGCACAACATTGTAGAGAACAGGTTGTATTATCCATGTCCAAAGTTGTGCAGTGCTTCTTCTTTAATTCAGTTTCTATATTTGTGTGGCATTTTAAAATGGAAGTTGTAATTTCTAATTAAAATGTTTATTGTTGGGAATTACAGTCTGGGAAGCCTCTTAGAAACATTTTGACTACCTAAGAATGCAGCTGTCATCACTTTGAGAAGAGGTGAGATGCAGATTAGGTATATACAGTACAAATAGATTGCATTGAATGAACAAAACAGATTACTGGAAAAAGCACTTATCCCACAGAAGGACTATCCAGTTTATTTATAATGAAATTACTCATCTACACATTCATACAGTAAAATGACAATCCTTTAAAAATGAGTAGAACTCAATAGCTTTTTTCAGGACATAGTCAACAGAGTTTCATTTATTAAATGTATTTCATCTAAACTTAAATATCCCATCTGTATCTCTTCAATCTAATGATCTTAGGCTGATGATGACTGTATTCCTGTGCAGCTGAAATGAATCAGAAAAGATTTCCCAAGCTAAAGAGTCTTTCCAGAAACCTGATTAATTTTCCAGTTGCCTTGCTTGTATAGAGTAATAGGAGTTACTTTTTCCCAATGAAACTGCAGAGATAAATTTTCTCCTGACAGCTTTGACACTAGGTGAGCATGGGAAAAAGAACATAAAGAGATGTTCTGAACATCATGCTTTTTAACTTTTCAAATCACAGCTGGGACAGTATAGATAGTAATTGTAGCAGAGAAGCCCATTTTAGAATATTAACTGAATGCATGGTTAATATGGGGTTTGTCCACAGGCTCTACAGTCTACAAATCCTAAACAAGGTGAATGGTGTACAAAGATATTTAAATTATTAAATAGTTAGCTTTTCCAGAAATGGGAAATCATTAAGTGGTCACATTCTGTTTATCATTGTCGTAAATGTGAAATTCATCCTAGTGGACGGCCTGAGGATTACGTGGTGCCTGGGACCTTTTGATGGCCCCTTGTACCGTGATACATTTAAACAGTTTAGGATAGAAAATGAAGAAAAATGCTGCATTCAATTGAAACTCCATGGGGAATTTAGGTAAGCAGGATGTAATAGCCAAATTCCAGTTTGTGTAGAGACCCTGGGCATAAATATCTGCTCTTGTGAAAAATGTAATGGGTTATCAGGGGTTTTTTTTATATCTCACCTGAAAGATGGCACTTCCAGCAGCAGTGCACTCCTAAAATGATGCTGGGTGATTGGTTTAGTACTGACTCAGAAGAAGGGAAGTTGCTTGATTAATCACTATCATCACTTCCTACACAACTTAGATTTTTCTGGTAGGTCTCAGGATGGAATCCTGGACATGTATAATGGTAACCAAAGATGCTGGTGACTTTGACATATATCACTTTAGGAGACGACTGCTTTTACATTTAAAAAAATCTGGAAATCTCACCACAGGTTTCTATGCTTTTGCTACCAGAAGAAATATTTACAGCTCCATATACACACTTCCCTATGAACTCTCCACTACTCCCACAGAATTTACAGAAAAACATATACACCTCTACCCCAATATAACGCTGTCCTTGGGAGCCAAAAAATGTTACCGCGTTATAGGTGAAACCACGTTATACCGGAGTGCGCAGCCCCGTCCCCCCGGAGCGCTGCTTTACCGCATTATATCAGAATTCGTGTTATTTCGGGTCTCATTATATCGAGGTAGAGCTGTATGTAGTTAGAGCCTTCCACCACTGGAAGGGAATTCATGTATTACCTTTTCTTGATATCTTGTTAGCAAGGAGTTTATTGCTGCAGAAGGTCATGGTTCCTCTTGACCGTAAAGCTTCTAGTGCTTCTACTAAAATTTCCAGATCTTCTTCATTAAAGCCCTGTCCTTCATCCCATTCCTGAAACCTACTGCTTGGCTGCTGAACAGCAGGCATTACTAGAATATGTTGATCTCTACCCTTCTGTAAACATGTTTCCAATAGGCACTACTCTGCTGTATGGAAACAATATGGCCATTGACACTCTGTCTCACTTCTTCAGAGTTCACCCTTAAGCACTGGCAAGAGCTCTTGGATGCCAGAAAACAATCTAAATTAATATCTCTCCTGCACTTAGATTTTCCTTAGGGTAGTTAAGTTACAGAATCTTCCGAAGGTCTTAGAGTGCTCTTTCTGAAGTCTAAAACTTGTTCTTCAAGCCCTCATGGCTCATCTCTTCAAGTCACTTTATTTCCTCTTGCTTAGGGTAGTCTTCCTTGTGGCAAAAAGGCTTCTGATCTGGGTGCTTTACTGAGTATGTATTTGAGGATGAAAAGGTAATCCATGGCATAGCCCAGAACTTTTCCCCCAATGCTAATACCATCTACGCTGGGTCGAAGTTCTTCCCTCATTCTGCCTTAACCTGAAGCTCCTGAAAGAGATTAAATGGTGTACTTTGGACCTAACACATGAAATTTCACCTCTTACTTGCTAATTTCCTTTCTTAGGGGAACCCTGTCCAACCCTAACCCCCTCAAATTGGATTTAATTTGCAGTAACCCAATTTTTTCATCATTTCTCCGATTTCTTATTTCTTCTGTTTACTGAGTTAGCTGTTCATACCTTTATAGGAGACCTTATTCTGGAGAGTTGAGTTCAGGAGCGGCGCCAGGGTTTTTTGGCACCCTAGGCGGGGGTCCTTCCGCGCTCCCGGTCGTCGTCATCAATTCTGCGGCGGGGGGGGGGGTCCTTCCGCCCTCCCGGTCTTTGGGGCAGTTCGGCGGCGGGTCCCGGAGCGAGTGTAGGACCCGCCGCAGAATTGCCGCCTAAGACCTGGAGCGCGGAAGGACCCCCGCCTAGGGTGCCAAAAAACCCTGGCGCCGCTCCTGAACTCAACTCTCCAGAATAAGGTCTCCTATAAAGGTATGAACAGCTAACTCAGTAAACAGAAGAAATAAGAAATCGGAGAAATGA